TAAACTCAGGAAGCCCCGCCTCTCAAACAAAGCAGTGCTGAAAGCAGTTAAATTTAAACAAAGCTTATCCTGAAGCAGAAGGAAACAAAATGGGTTCCTGCTTCCTCAACTTCTGTGGAAAGCCCAGCTGCCCCTTGGGTTCAGACACTGGTTTATATAGGATAACCAGGAAGCCCCGCCTCTCAAACAAAGCAGTTAATTTTTAAACTGAGGAAGCCCCGCCTCTCAAGCAAAGCAGTTAATTTTTAAACTCAGGAAGCCCCTCCTCTCAAACAAGCAGCACTGAAAACAGTTAAATTTAAACAAAGCTTATCCTGAAGCAGAAGGAAACAAAATGGGTTCCTGCTTCCTCAGCTTCTGTGGAAAGCCCAGCTGCCCCTTGGGTTCAGACACTGGTTTATATAGGATAACCAGGAAGCCCCGCCTCTCAAACAAAGCAGTTAATTTTTAAACTCAGGAAGCCCCGCCTCTCAAACAAAGCAGTTAATTTTTAAACTCAGGAAGCCCCTCCTCTCAAACAAGCAGCACTGAAAACAGTTAAATTTAAACAAAGCTTATCCTGAAGCAGAAGGAAACAAAATGGGTTCCTGCTTCCTCAGCTTCTGTGGAAAGCCCAGGATATAGGCTATAGCACTATTGGTAAAGCTAACTTATAACCAAAGATTAGCAAAAGGAGAAATAGAAAAAGGTCTATTTGAAAATACATGGAAGCCATTTATTAGCTTCAGATATATAACTAATGGCAAATTCAAACCATCTACTGATCAAGAAAACTGTGAATGAAAAATTAGAAAATATATTAAAACGATTATATGTATTGGGTGGAACAGATTAAGCAGTAGTTTTGTTTTTGTTTTTTTGCCGTGTCAGGAGCGACTTGAGAAACTGCAAGTCGCTTCTGGTGTGAGAGAATTGGCCGTCTGCAAGGATGTTGCCCAGGGGACTCCCGGATGTTTTGATGTTTTACCATCCTTGTGGGAGGCTTCTCTCATGTCCCCACATGGAGAACTGGAGCTGACAGAGGGAGCTCAACCATGCTCTCCCCAGATTTGAACCTGCGACTTGTCGGTCTTCAGTCCTGCCAGCACAAGGGTTTAACCCTCTGCACCACTGGGAACAGTAGTATAGAACTGACAAGAGTTGTATTGTATATAATACTATGCAACTGATGGGGAAGAGGTGTATGTCGGGGAAAATCACATAGAAAAATAAAAAAAATCTAGAGTATAAATGCACTCTGAGACTCAGAACACCTCTATAAAAGGATGTACCCAGTTGTTGTTTTTTTTAAAAAAAACTATTTATATCTTGTCCTTAAAAAAAGTGGGAAAAAACATGGAAAGCAACTCTGGAATACTTTTCCAGATATGTCAGGAAAAGAAGATCAATCTTCCAAAGGGATTAAACAATCAACAGACTACTCACACACAGTTCCTGCTTTTGCGTGGGATTCAAACAGCAAGACAGCAGCCAGTTCTCTCTTCACCTGGAACAAAGACAGACAGTGAGTGCTTCTTGTAACCTTGTTGACAAACACAGGTAGAGCAGGAAGGCAGCATGTGATATAAGCCAAACATAAGATGGTTCCACTTGATTTCTCCATCAACTTCTATTGTATACACTACAATTAGGTAGAAAAAAATGTCAGGAAAGGAAGTTCCGCCTGAACATTAGGGAGAACTTCCTGTGAGAGCTGTTCAGCGGTGGAACTCTCTGCCTCGGAGTGTGGTGGAGGCTCCTTCTCTGAAGGTTTTTAAACAGAGTCTGGAGGCCATCTGTCAGGGATGCTTTGAATGCAACTTTCCTATTTCTTGGCAGGGGATTGGACTGGATGGCCCACGAGATCTCTTCCAACTCAAGGATGATTCTAATTCTAGTATCCATGGGAGATATGTTTTTGAACTTACAGCAAAAACAGGAAACTGTGGATAATAGCTGAAATAGTAAAGCTACCATAGATTCGCCCTACAGGACCTAGAACATTCTTAGAGATATATCCTTTTCAGGTATTGCTAAGTTCTTCAGGCTGACTCTAAGATAACTTCTATCAGGATCATAGCATTGAATCACATGAATGTCTCAAAAATTGTCCAGTGCTGCAGGGGGAGGATGTTGGCTGGCTGGTGGTAAAACTCTGGACTTTACTGGTAAGGAGCCACTTGTTTAGAATACCTTGGAATGAGGCAATGTCTTGCCCATTCTCAAAAGATAAAATCTCAGCCTCCCAAATTTCTTGATGAGGCAATCTCATGTTGTGACAAGTGGGGGAAACAGCCTGGATGCACCCTACTTTCAAATGAGTGATAAATGGGTTAACAGAGATGAGTGCATCATTCCTCATTTATTGCTTATGGCCAGTGATCAAGTTGGACCAAGTGGAGAAAGGACAACCTCACAACCTGAGGATGCTTGCCACAGATGCAGCATCCTCTGTCAGGAGAGAATGCTTCTAGAGCATGGCCAGATAGCCCGAAAAACCTACAACAACCCACTGGAGAAGGGACTGTCTGCATACTCACTGAACTGGAGAGATGGGCCACGGCCTTGATATGCAGCAACTCTTCAAAGATCAGTGCAAGCTCCTCATCTGTGCGCTGTCCAGGGCTAAAAGAGAAAGTTCAAAATACCATACACTGCATTATTTTCACATACACCTGTATACCTGCAAGACGCATTTGTACTGCCCCAAGTCTGTCTGCATTCTGACTCATTCATATCCAAAGATCATTACACATACAATAGGCCCTTCACATTTGTGGGTTTAAATTTTGTTGATTTAATTCTGCACAGATTTGATTACTATGTTCTAAGAATCCATAGGTCCTCCAGGATTCCGTCAAAAGTTGACAATAGAGTCATCCCGGAGGACCCAATGATTCTTAGGGAGGTTCCCTCTCAAGTAAAAATATAGCAGGTTCTTTCATTCACAGGTTGTTTTTTTTACATTTAGTGGGGCCTTGCACCCTAATCCCAGTTAAAGTTGAGGGCCTAACATTTAATGTTAATGTTAATGTTTAGGTAGACATCTAAATTACATAGATATAGGACCTCACAACCTCTGAGGATGCAGGCAAAACGTCAGGAGAGAATGCTTTTGGAACATGACCATACAGCCCGAAAAACTTACAGCAACCTACACAGATATATTATAAAAGTGAAATATCACTTATTTGAAATACATGAGATTAGAGGTGTTTTGGATTTCCGGTTATTGGGTGTGTGTGTGGAATGCTTGCATTTACCTAATGGATTTAAGTGTGGGGTTCATAGCCTAAAGGCAACTGCATATAATATTTTTGTGAAACAAAGTCTGTGAACACTGAACCATCAGAAAGTAAAGGTGCTACCATCTCAGCCATTCATGTAGTCAATTTTGGGATTTGGAATATGAATTCCAGATAATGGAGACTAAAACTAGCTAGATATATTTACACAGTTTAGCTAGATAGATAGGCAGACCTATCACCTGCAAGCTTATTTGAACAAAAAGTACAGAAAGGGAAAAAAATTAAAGCAAGTGGGATCCATCAATCACTTGAATGAACAATAAACCAATACATGATGCATTACACTGACTACACTACACGCAGCACCTTCCAAGAATGTCTGGCATAAATACAGCCCTGTGTATCACATGGATAAAAGAGAACGTGATGTCTTCCAGATGGTGGAGGATTGCAACTCCCATCAGCACTAGCTAGTCAGGTCAAAGGTAAGGGATCGTGCATGCTGTAGTGCAGTGGTTCTCAACCTGGGGTCCCCAGATGTTTCTGGCCTACAACTCCCAAAAATCCCAGCCAGTTTACCAGGTGTTAGGATTTATGGGATTTGAAGGCCAAAAACATCTGGGGACCCCAGCTTGAGAACTACTGCTGTAGTGCAAGAACACCTTGAATGCTGCACATTCCTCATCCCATCCATAGCAATGACCTGAAATTTCTGCATTTCTTCCCTGTCTGCCATGCTGAGCAATTCCCCCACACTCACGGTTTTCTCAGGATAGTAGTAAGCAATGCAGTAGGGCCCAACTGGGTAAGCAATGCCAATGCCTCCAACAGCTCCTCGCTGTCCCGGTCTTCAGCATTCACCTCCAGGGCCACAAAGCGGAAGAACTGGGCATCTCTGTCTTGGAAGTAGCTCTCCTGTCGAACTGAGTTGAAAAGATAGCAAATGCAAAATGAAAATAAGACAGCCGAGAGGAATACGTCAAAAGGTTTCCCCCCACCATCATGCCCACACAGGGAGTGCAGAAATTCTGCTCCCAGCAATTGCCACAGCTCTCTATCTGATAGAAGTGTTGACGCAGAATGCATCACTCTTGACTCCTTTTTTGCTCCCTCCTCCCATCTCCTTAATCCATTCTCAAACTTCTTCCTTGTGAAATTGACTTTATATTTCCTGAACCCAATAGAATGGCTGCCTTTAATAGCCGGCTAGCCACCCATTGTCCTGCTTCCTAATTTTTTACTCCAGGATAGCTCATTGTTCCAAGGAAGTCATTCTTCTTGAGCAGAGACAATCAGGAAATGAAATGACAGTAGCTAGCCAGGGGGCATTCCCAGCTAGGAGGTATTCAAATATTAATTTTAGCAATAATGGAAGCGACCCAGACCATGGTTTCTGGAGCCATGTTATCTACTCAAGAAGCCCATATTTTTCTTTTTAAAAAATAAATTTATTTATTTAAAAAGACAAAATAAAACTCTCTCTCTTTCTCTCCCTCCCTCCCTCTATATATAAAACATTCCCTAAACTATATAACTACAGACTATACACTATAGTTAAGCATCTATTTTAAAAACACCACAGACTTCCCACTCTCTGTCTGATGGTGGTCATACCTTATTCATCTGCTCCATTTAAACAATAATGTAATCACATTTCTACTGAAGCCAGCACTCTGATAATAAATGAATCCCACAGTTGATAAATACCCTCATCAATGTTGCGAAAAAGTAATAAACAGATGCCAGTCTTTCTTAATGTTAATGAAAGGTTCCTCCTTAATCGGCATAATCAATTTGGCCATTTCTGCTCATTCACAGATTTTCACCAGCCATTCTTTGTGCATTGGGAAGAAGGCCAAGTTCTCACATTAGCCTTTGGAAACATATCTACAGAGGCCAAAAGGTCAGTGATTAAAGATAAGGAAGAACCTTTCATATTGCAGTCGTTCCCTGTTTGTAAAAAATGTAAGTAAATCATCCCTGCCTGTTCAGACTGTCACATCCAAGAGGAACATCAGACAAAAGCATGTACTGGACTGATGGCTAGTATCTGCTTAGCAGGGAAGAAACAACCTATGACCTCATGAGCTGTGTAAGCAGCCCTTTGTGACCTCACAGCTGGAACAACTAGCAAGCCACAAGTCTCCCACAAAACAAGTTGCCATTACTCATTTAGAAGCTTGTTTCACTTTAAACTCCCCCTTTTTTCCATAGGACACAGGATTGTAATACATGGAAATGCCCAAGATGACCTCCTGTTCATGGAAAAAGATAACCTTCCCTAGTTTCAGCAATTTTGTTGAAATGCATGTTTTTACTGGCTTGCTTTTACAGAAAGGTAAACTACATAATAATAATAATAATAATAATAATAATAATAATTATTATTATTATTATTATTATTATTATTATTACTATTATTTATATTCCATTCTATTTCCCCAAAGGGACTCAGGGCAGATTCCAAACATAAAAGGCAAACATTCAATGCCCGCATACATAAATCGAGCATACATAAAGCCAGGCAACAAAGAGATGCCACTTTTGCATTGTTACATACCTTGAAGTCCTTTTTGGCTTATGGGGATCCTAAAATGAACCTATCAGAGGATTTTCTTGACAAAAATTGTCAAGAAATCTTGCTTGCCTTTGAGGATGGAGCGTGACATACCCAAGATCACCCAGTGGGTTTTCATGGCCAAGAAGAGATTGAAGCCCTGATGTTCAGATTTGTAGTTCAACACATGCATCTCTATGCCATATTGGCTCTTAGATAAACTTTAATAACTTGTGCTGTCCAACAAAGCGCTGTGACTTCTTTTCACATGAGGATTTGGGAGGACTGTCACTCAAAAGAAATTACCGGTAAATTGTGGTGGCTATCAACAAGGCTATAGTAAATTTGTATGCATCAGTTGGCTGACAGACTATGGCCTGGATTTCTGACCAATGTCACTTCATCACACTGTGTTTCTGTTAATCTCACCGTGAGACAGAACTCCTTCATCCATCAGGACTTGGCAGAGTCCAAGAGCTTGGCTGCGGGTCTGTATAGAAAGCCCTGCTCTTAGGAGAGCATCTACCAGCTCTTTCCCAGAACAGCATTGCCTGGAAAGCAGACATAAATCAGCAAAGAAGTTTATTTTTATTTATTAACTATATTTATACCCCACCCTTTTCACCCCGAAGGGGACTCAGAGCAGCTCACATATAGGCAACAATTTGGTGCTGAACAATCCAACAAATTAACAAATACATTGAAACCAACTGTTAAAAACATCTCAACATTACCCAAAAGCCCTTGAGTTTGGGAAGCTTATATGAGTAAATTCTCACTTTCAGGTGGATTTGAACTTCCCATATGTTTTAAAGCAGGCATGGTCAAACTTTGGCCCTCCTGGTATTTTGGACTCCTACAATTCCTAACAGTCTACCAGCTGTTAGGAATTGTGAAAGTTGAAGTCCAAAACACCTGGAGGGCTGAAGATTTCCCATAAACTATTTCAGGACTCAGCTTCTAATAAGGCTCTCTGGGAAGAGTCCCATGACACATACAACTATGGATTTTGCTGCCATGTGATGTTGAGATGATTGTCACTTTGGAAGTGTTTGGGCTCATCTACACAGTCCCCTAGATCCAGGATTGGTCTGGAATACTACTGGCTTGGACTGCTCCTGGATTCAGCTGAGCTTTTTACATGCTCTGCTCCTGAACAACAGCAGTGGCAGAAGCAAAGAATACAGACCGTCCAGACAAACCAAATCTGGTTTGGCTCCACTGAATGGTCACTCTTAGCCAGACTATCCCTTGCTGCTGCTGCAGTCAACCACAGAACTCCTGAGTTATAGTGGAAAAACCCCATTTCAGTGATGAACTATTGCATTTTAACTCTAATTCTCTCCCCACCCCCCATTTTTGTAAAGAAAATAAAGAAAACATATTGCAACCAGATGTCTTGGAATAAAAAAAGAAACCAATTTGAGGGTGGGAATAAAATGTTACAGCTGGGTCTGGGATCACCAGAAAGTAATCAAAAACAAGACAAACAATTTTGAATATTTTTAAAAATCATGAGAACTACAGCAACAAGTACTATAACCTTGTAATGCATGTGGCCCACCTAGTGGACCCCACATTGAATATGACCTCAATATTGATGATCTGTCAGAAGGTAAATTGCCTCCATTGTACTGGAGGGGAACTGGCTATCTTAAAGGGTACAGGACAAACTAATTGAAATAATTGTATCCTCAATACAATAAAGAACCAGTGCTATCATTGTTCCCTCCACACCCTCAGCATCTGTCATCTGGGGCAGCTAACTCTCTCCACCTAATGACAGGGCCAACCATCTGTAACAGTAAGAATGCTGAGCCAAAAATGTGGAAAATGTTTGGATAGGCGGTGCCTTTTCCCTATGACTCCTATTTAGTGGTAATTCAAGAGGTTCAGAGATCTTGTACTCAAGAGTTATATTTCATTGAATCAACAGACCTTATCTATCTAAAGAAGAACCCCATTGTCTATCTCCACAAACACTAGCTCTCTGTCTCAGATCATTACTGGTTCACAGAGAGCACTTCAGTAGAATTCAGAATTATTCCACGTACTCTTGTTGACCTGAAAGTATTGATCATGCGATCACTGACTTAAAGATTAAAGAAAGACAGAGAGGAGCCATGGGGCCTTAATTACATAGAAATGATTTTCCTTGCTATCCAGTTGAGTATTTCAAAGGATTCTGGGATTAACTTCAAGCCCATGCAAGCCTATTGGCATGTTGAGAAATCCTGACTTAGTTGATAGAGGTTTCCTGGACTAAAAGCATTACAAGGCGAAGAGGAAAGAAAATTGTGTACTATCCTTTTTCTTCTTTCCACATGTGAAAAAGAGATATCTGAGATACATGTACATGTGAACCTCACATATACAAGTCCATGAAAGCCTAGAGAAACAAACAAGTGTGATTGTTTTCTTATTTTTGTTTGAGTAGCCAGTTGGCTAGGTAAAGGTAAAGGTTTTCCCCTGAAATTAAGTCTAGTCATGTCTGGCTCTGGGGGTTGGTGCTCATCTCCATTTCTAAGCTGAAGAACCAGCATTGTCCGTAGACACCTCCAAGGTCATGTGGCCGGCATGACTGCAAGGAGCACCGTTACCTTCCTGCTGGAGCGCCATTACCTTTCTTCCTATTGATCTACTTGCCGTTACCTTCCTTCCTATTGATCTACTCCCATTTGCACGTTTTCGAACTGCTAGTTTGGCAGAAGCTGGGGCTGAGAGCGGAAGCTCACGCCACTCCCCGGATTCGAACCTGGGTGCTCCCAGTTGGCTACTCACCCAAAAAATCTCAATGGTTTAGTAGGGGGAATCCAAGAAGAAGAACAATGTAGTGAGGGAAAAAACCCCATGACTGTGGCAGTACTGGCTATAACATTAAACAGAGTGCAATGTATATTTCAGGCAGTAGAACTAGGTGGCAGACTATGAGCATTGAGTTGTATGTAGTACACATAGCCTACCATGTTTCTCCTTCTGTCCCCAAGTATGGTATAGTAGTGTTTCATCATATCATGATACAGGCCAGATGCAGACAGGCCTTTATACCAGAAGCATCCGCTTTAAAAAGATGGTGGATGTTTCTGGAGGCCTGTCCACATCCACCCCAGAAAGCGCGCACTTTCTGGGATGGGTATTCAGATGTTCACCGGAAATAGGGGATTTATCCCACGCCTTCCAAGAAGGCGCAGAAGAAATCCACTATCAAGTTAATTCACTGTAGCGAATTAATTCAGGACTGTCCAGAATGCTGTCTGGACAGCCCCTCCTTTATTGTGGGAGTTCCTCCAATAAAGGTTGTGTCTCGACAGGCGCAAAGTAAAACTCAAATACCAATCTCTTTTCAATGACAACTCACACTTCTGGGATTATTCTATAAAATAGCCACAATTGGCAAAGATTTTGTGCACAAATATGTACCTGTAAAGCCGGAGATGGTGCTTGTGATCACGAATTAAATCTGGATACATTGTTACTAAGTGAGCACCAAGGAGTCTCCCCGCTTTCTGAATTTTGTTCGAAGAAGCCTGTGAAATAAGAATTCAAGAAGTATTGCTCTAGTTCCAATTGCTCAGTGTTATGTTAAATCTGAAACTGATTTTAAATGGTAAGTGAGGTGAATGGGTGTTGTATCTCATTTAATAATACATCCTTTGGGCAACAACAAAACCTTAAGGAAGCATTCGCTTTTGTTTCTGATCACTTGATCTTAGAAACAGATATCTTTGTTTCGGATTCATTTGGGGATGGGGAACTGGAAAGATGTTGCTGAATTTCTGCTCTCTTCAACCCTAACTATTCACCAGGCTAACTGAGGCTAGTGCTGTTTTGAGATCAGAAATATTTCAATTTTCCTCCAGACTTGCTTTAATTCAATGAATTTGACAGTTGGTGTAAGGAACACAAAAAGAATCAGGCCAGATCAGACTGAAGGTCACTGTAGTCCATCTACCATGGGCAGCATGATGCCTTTCAGCAACCTGCAAGTAGGATACAAGGACAATGGCATCCATGTGGTTGTGTTCCTTAGCAAGCCTTCCCTAGAAGCATATTGTTCCACAATACTTCAAATTCAATCAATTTATTAGCCAAGGGCCATAATAAAGAGCACTAAAATATATTGATAATTCAAGATAAAAAGTGCAAAAGATGGTAAACATACATATGAGCAAGGTAATATAACAGTCCATTTGAAAAAGGTCTTAGAGTCTTAGTGGACAACAAGTTGAACATGAGTCAACAGTGTGATGCAGCAGCTAAAAAAGCCAATGGGATTTTGAAGTATAGTGTCTAGATCAAGGGAAGACATGGTGCCTTTGTATTCTGCTTTCATTAGACCTCACCTAGAATACTGTGTCCAATTCTGGGCACCACCATTCAAAAGAGATATTAATAAAATGGAAGGCATCCAGAGGAGGGCAACTAAAATGATCAAAGGTCCGGAAACCAGGCCCTATGAGGAGGCTTGCAGAATAGAAGGTTGAGAGGACACATGATAGCCATGTATAAATATGAGAAAGGATGTCATAAGAAAGAGAGATCAGGGTTGTTTTCTGCTGCCCTGGAAACTAGGACTCAGAGAAATGGGTTCAAATTACAGGAAGGGAGATTCTACCTGAACATTAGGAAGAACTTCCTGACCATAAGAGTTATTCAGCAGTGCAACTCTCTGCCTGAGTGTTGTGAAAGCTCCTTCCTTGGAAGCTTTTAAGTAGAGGTTGGTTAGCCATCTGTTAGGGGTGCTTTGACTGCGCTTTTCCTGCATGGCAGAGAGTTGGACTAGATGGCCCATGTGGTCTCTCTATTATTATATGAAACTTGCATTGTTTCTTTCTCATCATTTGTTTTGTCTTTGCTAACCATGGAGGATGCCAAGTATCCCAACATCTCACCCACCCACTTTAAATCCTACCCGTCCACCCACCCACCATGGCTGCTAGCCATTTAAATACGAATAAAATAACTTGATCTTTCACTACTGTAGTCATACTCAAATGTTCCTATGATACTCGGCATAGTGCACACTCTTACAAAAGTGCCTTCATAGCCATACTAGAAACTTTCATTTTTTTTAAAAAAAATGTCAAAAGAATAAATTCTAGAGATGCTAGATCCGGTGTCTAGGGTCACATTCTGTGCTACTTCAGGCCCATAACTTATACAGCCAAAGATCATATCACATGTTAAAGGGGCCAAACATATCCCCTCCCCCCACTTTTTATTCTAAAGGAAGGATACAATGTGATATTTATTACCTGCTTTACTCTGTGGCTAGGCACCAGAGCTGATTCACGGTCTGGAAGAGGGGTCTGGAAATAAAATGAACAGGAACATTTCCTTAGTCCGTTTACAAAGTCAGGAAGGAACTGTCTCTTGTATGAGTTAGTCCAGCATAACAAAGAAGCAGCAGCATTTTTCATCCAAAGAAACGATTCCCGGAAAGGAGACCTGCTTTAACCCAATGGCTTAAACAGAGCATCAGCTGACTATAAATGATACGTATGAGAGAAAATACCAAATGTTAGATGTCCACAAGGTCACAATGCATCAGAAATAAAACAACATTATGGACACATGTCGAAACCATCTATACAGCAATCCAAACTAGAGATGGGGAATGTGTGTACTTTCAAATATGGCCAGACTTCAGCTTCCATTATCTCTCCCAGGAAGCTACACTGACTAGGCTGGTAATATTTACAGTCCAACAAGATCTTGAGGATCATACATTCATTCACTGAATGACAATTCAGTTGATGAATGTCAATCAAGTGGTTCTCTTCATTGACATTCATTGAAGAAAGAGGTTCAGAATCAGGAAGCTGAATAAACTATAACAAGAGTATAGCTGCCAAAATAATAGATAGAATAATGAGCCTGTACACAACCAGTGAGCTGCTGAACTTGCTGACCGAAAGATTGGTGGTTTGAATTCGGGGAGCAGGATGAGCTCCCGCTGTTAGCCCCAGCTACAGCCAATCTAGCAGTTCAAAAAGATGCAAATATGAGTAGATCAATAGGTACCACTTCGACTGGAAGGTAATGACACTTCATAGTCATGCCAGCAACATGACCTTGGAGGTGTCAATGGACAATGCTGGCCTTTTGGCTTGGAAATGGAGATGAGCACCACTGCCCAGAGTTGGACACAACTAGACTTAATGTCAAGGGAAACCTTTACTTTTACACAACTTCAGCTGTTTGCTGGACTACAAGTCCCACTTATTCTCAGGTTTGTTAATTGGGGCTCATGGGTGTTAGAGTCCAACAACAATTTGGAAATCACAGATTCTCCATGCATTCATATCACAGTAATATTGTTTCAGTTTAATTGGTTGATAGACTTTTGGCTCCAAGCTTGGTTCAAAGAGTAAATACTGACGTGGGATCAGGTTATTCTAAGGTAGGGACATGAATCATGAGGCATTTAGATCTTGTTTACCATCAATCTCAAGAGCCCTGACCATCACAGCCAATGGTACAGAAACCTGGAAGATGAATCCACTAAGTTCTGGAGAGCCATATGATTCCCATTCCTACTTGCGGGACTACTTGTTCCTATATGACCCCAATTTATGAAGGATATGGATAGAACAAGTATTGATAAATACAACATTGAAGCATTAGTGTTAATGTTAAATCACTGAAGAAAAGTAATGTGTTAATATACAAAGGCTTGTCACAATCGTCCAAATAGCCACACTCTCCAAGGAAATCCAAAAATGCAGGCAGCTGTGTTGATTCATATCAAGAACAAGGTAAAGTAGAGTTTTCATCTCTACTAAAAGCAAGGTTTTATAAGGCTAGTGGGTCTTAATTGCCCATCTGAAACCAAGCCACATTTAACTGCCCTTCTGAATTCCAATTCTGGGGGGAAAGGTGGAGTCGTCACCATCACATTTACAACAGGTATAGCTCACAGACAATTACAGATGCAATTTTTCTGGGGAAATCCCCTTCCCACTTATTCTAAGGGCTGCAGCTAACTTTAGAGAGGGCAAAGAAGGATGCCAAGGATCTGGATGGCATCACAATCCATAATAATCAAAATGTTTCAGCATTTTAGTCCTGCAAGCCATGACTCTGTTACACAACTTGGAGTCACTCTTTTGATCAATATATTTGAAGAAACTAGTCCTATAGAAGTAATAGGAAGGAGCTTCCTCAGGCAGATAATGCCAGAGACTAGTTATCCCATGTGGATTTTTCTATCACAGAGCCCTTGTGGCAGGCCCGTAGCCAGGATTTCGTTTCAGGGGGGAGGGGGGCTAAAAAATTTCAGGGGGGGTTTCAGGGGGGCTGAGTTTCGGGGTCTGAGTCTGAGTGAAAGAGGGTCTAGCCTAGCAAACCTTTTGTATCATTACCCCAATACCCCCATGCATATGGGATATATTGAGTATGGTGATCAGATCATGATATGAATAAACATAACAGTTTAAATAATGCACCAGTAAGGCCTTTTCACAAACCACCATGAGAATTTCGGGGGGGGGGAGTGAAGCCCCTCAAGTTTCCAATGGAGAGGAGTACCCTGAGGGGGGTTGAAGCCCCTCAACCCCCCCCCCGGCTATATGCCTGCCTTGTGGTCTTGTCCAGTCATAAGCAGAAGAAATGGACCGACTGTTGCGAAGGAAAACTTTGCACCAAGTGCGTAAGCAGCATCGCCAACCTCATTCTGGTTGCTTGGTGCTTGAATTTTTGAGTGTTACAATGAGGCCCTATGGAAATATTTCAGCCTTTAAGTGGTCTAGTACCAAGAAAACTCTCTGCCAAGCTCCCTTTGAATAGATCATTGAGAAACTGGTCAACTGGTAAAAACACAAACCGACAGAGTTTCTTCAGTCTGCAAAAAATGTATCATTGGCCAACATTCTAAATGGAGAAAAATGCCAATCAAGAAAAGGAAAGGTAGAAGTGCCAACCTATATCTGCTCAGCTCACAGAGAGCAGAGGCTTATACTCAGTCTCAAGTGCGACACATGGAATCTCCTTCTTGTTGACTCTCTGGGAAGGAACTTATATAAAAACAAAAACACACTCCTGGAATGAAGACAGTCTTGCCAATATCTCTCCACAAAAGGAGATCAAATGTCAAAGGACTGGGTGGATGACAGTGGGAAAGAAAATATGACACTTCAGATATTATTAGACTGCCATCCTTACTCCAGCACAGTTAATAATGGAGAAAATGGAACATGTAATACAAATGATGGAACAAATAATGCACACGCCCCCCAAATGTCCCAATTTGGCAGGGCCAATCCTGTGTATTCCTCTGCCATCCCACTTTTCACCTGCTTTTAAAATGTCCCAATGTTTTCTCTTCCTTCCACCTTCCCTCTTGCTGTCATCCTACATACTAGGACAAGGAACAATTGCTTCAAACTACAAGAAAGGAGATTCCATCTGAACATGAGGAAGAACTTCCTGACTGTGAGAGCTGTTCAGCAGTGGAACTCTCTGCCTTGGAGTGCGGCGGAGACTCCTTCTTTGGAAGCTTTTAAACAGAGGCTGGATGGCCATCTGTCAGGGGTGATTTGAATGGAATATTCCTGCTTCTTGGCAGGGGGTTGGACTGGATGGCCCATGAGGTCTCTTCCAACTCTTTGATTCTATGATTCTAATTACTGCAAACTCAATAATTAAACTTAAAAAGTAATGTGCACTCTATTGCTTCATCAGGAAGAAATGAGAAGGCAAGACATAATTTTGCCCTTCTTGGGAATCTCACACAAAAACAAACTGTTACGTCTCATGTGTTCCTCCTCATTAATAACTTTTTCTATCCTATAGGGAGAACGAGACCTTTGAGGCCAATCAGAGAAAGCTTTTATAGAGATGTGGAGGCACACATATTGGGGGGGGGGGGAGGATTATTTTCTGTGCAAAAATCATGTTTCTAGTGCTTTCTGCACACACATGCACATCCCTTGATCTTCCACTACTGTTTAATGCGGAATAAATCCCAAGCTGTATTTTCATCAGTCAYGCTTTCTCATCATACATTTCTATTCACTCAAGAAGCCATTTATGAAGGTTTTTAAACATTCTTTCCATCCCTACTGAAAACCCCAAACATGTAAGAAGGAAAATTGGCCATCACACTATAACCTGGCATGGCAGGACTATGACAGGATAGCTGTGAATGACGCAAAGCGGGCATATGCAGCTTCTTGTTCCTACAACGTTTTTCATCTCAGGACTGACTTGAGAAACTGCAAGTCACTTCTGGTGTGAGAAAACTGGCCGTCTGCGAGTACGTTGCCCAGGGGACGCCCAGATGTTTTACCATCCTGTGGGAGGCTTCTCTCATGTCCTCATATGAGAAGTTGGAGCTGACAGATGCTCCCCGGATTCAAGCCACCAACCTTTTGGTCAGCAGTCCTGCTGGCACAAGGGTTTGACCCATTGCACCAATGGGGGCTCCTTTCCTACCATTATAAACCCAGGTATTTCTGATTATGCTTTAAGACACCCTTCTTTAGTCTGATTTCTTTTATTCTGGGGTCAAGTCCAGATAATTAAAAGGGCATTCATAAAACTGTGGAGGGCTCAATCTAAGCAGCACTTTTTTTTCGTCCTTTGTCTTTCTCCACAACAGAAACCAGCGGAAGTGATACTGCTCCTGTTCTCTTGGTTCTTGGAAATGTCCTCTCAGTCAGGACACTCTCTCCCCGGCCTTCCCAAGGTGCCTTGCCAGCTTACTCGGGCTTCTTGTTTTCCTGAACAGTGGAGCACAAACAGCACTCCACCCTCTCTTCAGGGTGTTGACACACGGCAAATATCACAAGGCTTGCCAGCTGCCAGGATCAAGCAAAAACCATCTCAGGTCCATATTGGCTCTGAGCTGAAGGAGCTCTCCCTTCGGGGAGGCCAAATGGCACTTTGATAGCGCTCATTTGGCAAGCCCCAAATTGCAAACAGGTCTTGTCTTGCGGAGATCAGAAGATGTGTTTGTCAATATATACCTTAAGTGGGACATATTTGCCCGGCCCTTCCTTGCAGCAGCATCCTCACATGCCAAAATCACGCAGGAAAAAAAGGAAATAGTTGGCTTCCTACTACAGCTAATTAAGTCATACCCTTCGGTTGTCCTGATTTGGCAGACAGTGTGCCAGCCAATCCTCTGTTATTCTACTTTTAACATAAATCTTTTTAAAATGTCCCAGTTTTCTGACCTCCTTCCACTTTCTCTCTTTATACTCCGCAAACTTCAAATGCAGCAAAATGAATTCAAATGTAAAAACAGGCTGCACTCAATTAATTCAGCAAAAGGAAGGGGAGAAGAGGAAGGTGCAAAATCATGCCC